CAATGGCAGCCATGAGGACCTTGGCTTCGAAGGTGCTGCCTTGGTCGGAATGCAAGTGCAGCTCAGTCAGCTGGGCATCCAAAACGTCTGAACACGTTGTCGGCCAGGGCTCTGGCCTCCACCTCGGCGGCGTGGTTGCTGGGCACCGACACGGCCTGGTTTACGCCGACGCGCTCCCAGGGATCGCCGACTTTGTGCAGCCGCAGCGACGCGCGAGCTTGCACGCGAGCTTCTCCTCTTCCCCTGCGCAGGCGACACTTCCCCCGTCGTTGGCAAACAGGTCGTCGACGTCCATCTCCAGGTGGGAGACGTCGGTCGGGTAGTAGAGTCCGGGTGGGTCGTTTCGGGTAGCGACAGGCATCACGTCACCATGGGCGACTTCTGGGAGGGCCTGGAGGGTGCTGGCCACGTAGCGACGTGCTCGCTGGACTGGCGGTGTCGGGACAGGGTTGGGCGTCCTGGCACTGCTGCTGGCAACGCTCTAGTGTTTCTCGACTCGGGCACCACCGGCCGCCGATTCTCGAACGCATAACATAAATTGGATGTGGGCTCTATTAGTCAGTACTTCTGGAGGAGCAGACTGGCCGCGACCAGCCGGTAGACGTCTCCTCCAGGCGGTCTTGAAGGTCTCGAAGTTTCCGGACAGCGACGTTGCGCGCACAACGGCAGCAAGCTCACAATCAGACGACGGCTAACCCCCGTCGTTCCGGTTCGTTCTCGTTCTCCCGCCCCGGGGACCCGCTTCCCAGCGGTCCAGCGGCAAAGGGCCTGTCGCACTGGTAGACCAGTCCGTGCAGTACAGGCAGGGACGGGCCCGCTGCTCGACCAGCTCGAACACTACGGCTGCGTGAGCGCGAGTGAAGGGCATGCCTGCCTGAGGTCCGGACGCAATCACCGTCATATTTTGAAAAATCGGGCAGAGGTCCCCCTATGGGGCCCGAAGGATGACCTCCAGCTTTCACATTTCGTGCAAGCCAGGTACCAAACGAGTCGAGCGTGTGTAGTAGTTGTTAGAAGGGGAGAAAGGGGGAGGGTCAAAAACGCTAAAAATGAAAATATGGGCAGAGGTTTGTCTATGGGGCCCGAAGCATGACCTCCGGCAAGCACGAATCCAACCAGAACGGCGGACGTACGAGCCAGGCACCACTTGTTGTTTCTCTGACCGCGTCGAGCACCGCGTAGTCCGTCAGCTGTGTGGGCGACAGCGTCGACAGCACTTGGGAGGCCGGCTCGCGAAGCGCGATCACCAGGCTGACGGCCCACTCGGACACGGGGCGCATGGACACTAGAGTCGGGAACTGGGCACGGTAGCACACGTAGTCCGTCTTGCCGTCGTGGGTGGGGAAGCTGTCGTAGTGCTCGGGAGCAGAGGTGGACGGCTCGGCGGCTGTTGCGGTCGTTGCGGACGACGCCGACGTGCTCTGGGCTGGGTCGTCGTGAAGACAGTTGTCGGGAAGCGGGCCGGGGGAGGACGTCGACGATGACGGCGGCGGGCGGTGGCGGGAACAGCAGCTCTGTGCGAGCCGCTAACGCAGGGACGAGGACGGGGAAGGCTTGACGGGCCTCTGAGGCTACTCGCGGACGGGGTGCAGCACCCCTGTCACTCCCCCCCCCCAACCCTTCCCTTGTGTGGTCAATATCACTTATCACTGTCACTGTGGCCATTCGGGCGGGAGTGCACTCCGGCCTGGTCACGGGAAGTCGTAGGGAATCCAGGGAATGCGCAGAGTTGGCGTAACGCGTAACGGGGTTAGTGGGCCATCCCAAGGTAGCCGCGGCGACGCGTGAGGTGTGCAAGCAGCGCAGTACGGAGCGGATCGAAAAAGCGTCCGCACCCGACGGCGGTCCAGACTAGATTCACCCTCTGCCAGCTCTCATAGCGCCTGATGGGTAGACTACACCTCGCCCGCAGTGCATGAGTGTACTGCGGGGTGGCCTACCCCGAGTCTTGCAGGCGCCCAGCTCCCGCAATTTGCCGAATGAATCAGAGAAAAAAACGGATTTACTTTCTGGACCATCCCTACTGCAACCCACGCGACGCACGCGGTCGTGCGGATGGAGGCCAGGTCTCGGCGAGGGCGGCGGCAGGGGTATGGAGCGGAGGTGTATCGTCTGGATGTTCGAGTCCGGCCAGAGGGAACGTCAAACCCGTGTCCGGAGCCCGCCATGTGCACGTGCACTGCCCAATCCGTCGAGCGCCAATTCGTGAGCACTGCACTCGATGTGCCTCTGGAACGCCAGGTCGCTCCCGTCCAGGTCCAGGGCAGGCGATGCGCACGTCCGTGCCTCCGGCCTCCGGCTGCAGCAGGCACTCGTTCTAGCCCGCGGCCAGTCCTTGCGGGTTTGTTGTGATGCGTCAC